CCGTCGACTGAAAATAATCAAGTCCTCGTAGCCAAATCTCACGTGAAATTGCTGATACGATGGTTTAGTCATTACTTGCCCATCCTACATGTCATGGTCACGGTCGGCGACATGACCTCAATCAATGCCTCCGCAAGGAGGAATACAAATATTATCGTGTAAGAACGTAACACGTTGGCCTATGTATCTTGACGTAATTTTTCATAAACTATACATTAAAAAAAAGAAATTATATTAGTTTTACTCTAACACTACATGGAATCGTGTTCGAAGAATGACTTTTGTGATGCTAATATGGCTAGCTGTTCATCACCTTCAAATCAATAAACCTTTTTTTTTTTTGGTCGAACAATAAACCTATTTCACGCGTAAGAAGAAAATGCCTGATTTTGAGTCAAGTTTTCATGCCAACCTATGATTTCTTGGATTTTGTTCGGATGTTTTGCAAGCCAGAATGTATATAATTCATGCTCAAGAAGTATTTCTTGTTTTTTAAAGGTTTGTCTTTCGTTTGCCTCATGTATGTACGTCAGAAATGCTCTTACTCGCACTCTAGGAGTAAGCTCCCAAATGCATCAAGCCAATATGAAGGAGTGTGCCCTCATGAGGAGGTGGACCAATCGAAGTGCACATAAACTAGCATGGATATCACCTGACCACTTAAATAAACAAAAAATAAAAAGGAAATGCTCTTACATGAAGTCTTGAACCATGATTATAGCAAAAAATAAGAGCAAACCTTTCTTTTTAGCACGTAGAGTGAAATTGAAATAACACCAAGAACAAGAGGGGAAATGAAAAAATAAAGACTTATCGTGATTGGTAGTGATATAGCCAGCCAAGCATCACATGAGTATGACCATAACTAATCAATCGGTTTGAGGAATTTTACTCAAAATTTAAGAGGTACAAAACGTGGATCTTCTAGGGGAAATTACATAAAATCGCCTTGAGTTTTGGCAGTAATGCTCTTTTACCCTAGAAATACTCAGAGTTACGCCACCCTCTCTGAACTTTTATTATATTATAGTCGTTAACATCTATCCATTTTTCTATCAACATGCACGATGCGCATGATTTTTCAAATGTACCAGTGAGATTTATCTATTGAGAAAGACACGATATCGATTGAAGAAAAACACTCTTTTATGAGAAGACCCTCCACAATATCTCGTAATTATACACTATTACCTAGTAGGACTTCACACACGTACTAAGAAGGGAGCACTTCTTGACTATTTATAATCCCAACAAGGAGGTGGTTCTACCTCCATAGATAATTATAGAAATTCGTCTCTACAAATCTCAAGATTAACAATAATACTCGATGTGGCCAACCTCTACACTTTTCTGTTAAATATCTCTTAACTTACCACAAGAACAATCTAGATGGTTAAAGAAAGTGTTTCCTAGATAAATCTAGACTTCTGGAGAAGAGAGGTGGTGTGGTGTTTTCTTCAAAATTAAGGGTAAATGCTAAATAGCACCAATGTTTTGGACTTTAAAAGTGGTGTACCCTGGATCCCAAACTTTCACATAACACAAACCCTCTTTAACTTTGCATAGAAACATCTGTTATTTCAAGATATATGGAGGGAGGGAGAAGGAAGGAGAGAGAGAGTAGGGGAGAAGAGAGCCCAGAACGTCAGAAGTGACACACATTTAGATCCAAGAGATTTCATATATGATGCAACCTTATCAACTTTGCACAGAAATGTGTGTTTCTTTATTTTTACATGGAAATAACGGATGGAGATTAGACTTTTATTTTCTATTCCGCATTTGAAGTGTCATTACTAATCACTTCGTTTCTTCTGGCAATATAGTGGCGGTAGTGGGGGACAGGTCGCGGGGTATGGATTTGCACTTGCAAGGTTGGGTCTTTCCACACTGATTCTCGCCGACGGGCAGAGGAGAAAGAGGTGTTCCGGTGCTTCCATGCGTTAATTGCAAAAGGCGCATGCAGGCTCTGGTAAAATTCTTCTCTCGAACAGATTTTCCTTCAATATGAGTACATTTTGACACACATTCCATATAAAAAAAATCCTAAGGTTTGAGGTTGCGTGCAATTTATATTCGCTGTTCCGTGAGTCTGATGTGAGGATGATGGCTGAGCTTGTGTCGATTTGTCCCCTTCCTCTCTCAGTTTGTCGTGGCCACTCTCAACTGATCAGCCACCTGATTTGGTGTAAGTCCTTACTAGTGGCAAGCTCGGGAGAGTTCGTGCTGAGTCTTTGGACGTAGTAATCCCTTGATTTGTTCATCTCTAGGAAGGTCGCAATAGTGATGATTTTGTCTCCTCCAGAGTATAATTTGAGTGAAAGTCGAAGAGGGTCTTTGGTATTTAGAAAAGAACATGTTCGTTAAATGGTAATTTTTTCTTTTCTTTTTGGCTAAGAGAAGCAATTGGAATATCAAAATCATATTCAGTTAATATAACCCCGAGTGCTTGTCTTCTGAATTTGACATCTTGATCTAACAAAAAACAAGAATTTAACTTGTTGGCAAACACAAAACATGTTTGCAATGATCGGGTTGCTCCTCTTTTATCCTTTCTTTTCCCTTTTTAGTCAACCGGGTCTTGAGTGTACCACATGCATGCAAATCTAGTGGATGCCGGCTTTTAGATCGTATAGTTTAAATATAACACTCATTTACGTCGGGAAATGTAAGTACCCAAAGGCTAAATATAAGCTATCCCTTCATGCAGCTGAAAACTGCGGTGCAATCCAGCGCAAAGATAAAACGTGACAAAATTGGCAAACGCAACAGTCGAGAAATACACGAAAGCCAGCCAATTTACTAATGTCCAATATATATTATGCACAGAAAATGACTTTAAGGGACCCAAAAATTCATGCACATAGTAACCAACCCAAAAGAATAAATCCATGAACATCGAATGAGAATGTGTGTTTAGACTCAAAAGATAAATGGAGAGAGAAAGAGCCTAGAACTTCAGAAGTGATACACATTTAGATCCCAGAGATTTCATATATATGATACAACCTTGTCCAACTTTACTCAGAAATGTGTGTCTCTTCATTTTTAGATGGAGAAAAATGGATGGAGATTAGACCTTAATTTTCTATTACGCATTTTCAGTGTCATTACTAATCACTTTGCTTGTTGTGGCAATATAAAGGCGATAGTGGCAGACAGGTCAAGAGATAAGGATACTAACATGGATAATTTTATATGAGGTCTCGAATTTGTCCACTTAAAAATAAGGGAACTCGAAAAAATCTTTCTGGAACCTAATCAATTACATATGTAGTTTTATTTTTAATCTTTTAATAAGTAAATACACTAATAAATAGATAGATAATAAGATTACTAAAATAATATAGTGTGCTTTAGCATAAGACTAAATTTATAAAGTAATGCAGGTAGCTCGTTTCGAGTTTCATCACCGATGGGCCCAGTCCATCACCCCAGTAGCTTCTCTAGAAAAAAACAATGGCCCAAAGTGTAGTTCTTCGTTTTGGAGTTCCTGTTGCTAAAATAACTCAGCGATACAAGTGCTGATTGCACAGGGTGCTCCGGATCTGGCTCTTGTTTTCTGCATATGAAAGTCATTCTGAGCTTTCCAGATGTGCCAAAGCAAGCACCGTCGCGACTAGATCCAGTGAAGGTGCGTTTGCGGTGCTGTGTATAAACTGGAGGAGCCACTCATCCATTCTCGTTTATCCCTGGCTATCGATTTGCACTTGCAAGGTTGGGTCATTTACGCTGATCTCGTTCATGGGCAGAGGAGAAAGAGGTGTTCCAGTGCTTCCATGCATGTAGGTTCTGGTAAAGTTCTTCTCTTGAACAGATTTTCCTTCGGTGGTGGTGCGTTTTGACACTTCTAAAATCCTAAGATTTGAGCTTGTGTGCAATTTCCATCTGCGGTTCCGTAATTTCGAAGGAGTCTGATATGAGGATGATGGCTGAGCTTGTGTGGATTCGTCCCCTTCCTCTCTCAGTTTGTTGTAGCCACTTCTAACTGAACAGCCACCTGATTTCGTGCAAGTCCATATACTAGTTGATCTTGGACATCAATGAGTTCTTAAGGGCACTGTCAGGATTTCACTGACGTCATCTTCATTAAAAAAACTGGTGCAACATCGTTTCACTCCAGCAGTCCTCTTCCATGTTCATGAGATTTGCAACTCCAGTAGGTTCATTTCTTGTCGCCAGGTCCTCCCAGCAGCCCACTCTTTAGCCGACGGTTTCCATCCCCGACCAACCCGCATTACTGAGTCGGCGATTGCCTCCCTTCCCATTATCAAACTTTGCCGGTCCCATGATGATCTACTTGTTCCTTTTTCTGCATGCCGAAAGCCCTCCTGAAGGAAGCATACGCCTCTCATCAGTTGATCCCATAAGGAGGAGGAGGCGTCGTCCTGAGCCATCCTTGTCCCCCGCTTGCTTTCCCAGCATGGCTTTTATGGAAAGTGAGCAAGTCTTGGAAACCAAGTCCCCCATTATCCTTCCTAGTCTTCAAAACTGCCCATTTTCTCCGATGAATTCTAGATTTGGCTCTATTATTCTTCCATTAAAAGGCTGCTATTTTTAGCATACTGAGGTAGAGCTTGTATCACGGTTCTAATTAAGATTTCCTTCCCTATACCCAGAAAGATTAGGGGGCCAGGCTTTTCCCAAAAAAATTTAGGATGTTTATTGTGGAGATAGGCCCAAGACCGATAAGGGATGACCTGCCCATTTTGCTTAGCTGTGGGCAAAGATTCAATCAATTTACCTGTTTTTGAGGGATTGTCGTGCTTATCCATAACTCAAGACTCGTAATTACTCCTCCAGTAATCAATCTTTTCATTAACTAAACGAAGTGTTGTGCGGATAGATTTCGATATTGAAGTTATTTAGGACAAAATAAACACAATTGCGATGAAGCTGAGGCGTTTACAGATGTTCGGAAGCGTTCATATCATCAGAAGTATTCTCGCTATAAAGTCGTTGATGGGTTTGCTAAATTTATCTAAGCAAAAGTTCAAATGGAGGCCACTGCATATATAGAGCAGGCATTTTGACAGGTTCCATCCTCTCTTGGCTCTCTCCCTTCTCCTTTGCAAGGAGAGACCCAAAGGAAGAACCATAAGCAGGCAGAAAAGCAAGACGCCCTCATTTCTCCTCCCAAATATTTTGCATCGCCGCCACCCCCGCCGCCAGCACCGCGAAATGTCCACCAAGCACGGCATGAACCCAACCCTCACCGACTCGCAAGCCCCGGTGGGGAAGAAAAAGCCCGGCGGCATGAACATCTTCCGAGCGGCATGGCTCAGGCGACGCCGCTGCCCCGAGAAAAAGGCCGGCGGGCCTATCAACGGCGACCCTTCTTCCAAGGGCATGCTGAACCAGGTCGTGGGGTCGATGCGGCCTCTGCACCTCCAGAGCCACCGGTCGCCGCAGCACCCTCGGATGCAGGGAGCCACAGCCCCGCCCTCAACAAACGAGCAATACGAGGACGTGCTCTGGTCGCCCGTGTCCACGCCGCGCAGGATGACGTGCTTGTCTCCAAGATCTTCCGCTTCCGAAGAGGGAACGAGCCGGTTCGCGTCCGCAGTGAACCTTGCGGATCTCGACTGCGAGAGCGAGGACGGCGATCACAACCCCGACATCGAGGAAGGCGACGAGACGATCGATGTGAAGGCCGAGCAATTCATTGCTCAATTCTACGAGCAAATGCGTACCCAAAATTGCAATCGCAAAGTTAAGATGTCTAGTCATCAATGAACCCGATGCACAAAAATTTGTGGCTCTTGGTGACCTAATTTGGTCGGTCCACATCGTGGCAAAGGGATATAGCTTATGAAGAATTGTGTATGCTAGAGATATTTGGAATTTAGTTCCTTGGTATTTATTTCTTATATTGTAACACCTTTGTTGGCAAGGCCAATGAGGTGTGCTTGGAATACGCCTCGCGTAAATAATAAGAATTTACCATCACTTTTGTGATCAAAGATTCGAGCAAAGTATCTTTGATCGTTTTCCTTTTCCTTGGCTAGATAAGTATTTTCAATTGGAGTTTACATTTAAATTGGAATAAAAGTAATTATCAAATAAGGGCGGCGCATATCGGGCACGATGACGAAAAATAAATTTACCGAGAGAAATCAAAATATGATACCCACTCAAGTAGGCCTTAACGTAAAATTAACATGCTTTGACATATTTAGGTCCACCTTCAATCAAAAACAGCAATACTAGTCTGGTGTAATGACACCGATAGTTCTTGAATATTTCCCCGTTATTCAATATCATTCCTAACCTTTCTTTTGTTTAATGTCGTCCCTGAACTTTTAAAAAGTGATATAATGTGATCATCCTATTAAAATAATTCGCGGAATCTGCTCATGTGGGCGGAATATTCTGTTAAATTTATAATTTCCTAATTATTTTTGTTCAATTTTATCCTCGCATTTTGTCTATCTGTTCAATTTAATCTCTCATAAGATCTTTACTCTCTCTCAATAACGCACAACACAAATTCCAGCAGCCTTAGGATCAAGGACCGGCCCAGTCCCCCTAGGAACCAGACCAGGACCGATAGGGTTAGGCCGGTCCAAGGTCAACTTTGGATAGATGCTCACCCCTAATGTTTATTAATTATGTCACGACATTAAAACCCAAACGTGAAACGTCAGTTAAATTTTTTGCCCAACACAAAACATCTAACACACGAATTCTTACATATAAAAAAAATGCTTATTTGCGCTTACATGTTGCAAGTATATCTAAATTTAGAATAAACACGTCGTGTTAATACAAGAAACGTTTTAGATTGCTTAATTAACAGAGTCCAAGCGCGTAATTGACATTTTTATTATTCATCACGATTAAACTTATCCGAATCACATTAACACGTGCAGTGCGTATGTCTTGTCAAGGGTTAGTGTCGACAATTACTAGTATTAGATAAAGGTTATCGAGGTTTATATTGCAAAAATACTTGATGACCCTCAGTCCCTCACCATGCTCCCGTGGAGGTCAATATAGAGAAGGAACCGACACCTAATAGTTTAAGGATGAAATTTGACGAAATTGAACAGAAAAAAAAAATAATAAAAAGTTAGCAACCTTAACAAAAGCGTCGGCAAGCAAACGTTGAACGAAAATTCAAAAGTTTAAAGATGATATTGAAGAAGAAAAAAAAAGGTCCCGGCATGACATTGACTAATGAAGAAAGTTAGAGCACAAGTGTCTATTATCCCTCCCAATAATTCGACCTGATATCGAAATATTTTGATCGCGACGACATGAATGTGACGGCGGCGCAACATTTGACTCGTGGTTGACCATATCGGGGTTTAATCTAGCCGAAAGAAATGCATACATATATGTAATTTTAGATGACCGATTTAGGCAAATTACATCCAAGGATGCAAAGAGTACATCCAAAATTCCAATAAGCCTCTTACCCAAAATGTGGGTTCAACAAAATCAAACATAATCACATTTTGAAGTCTAATCAAACAGAAGCAAAAGAAAAAAGAAAGAGAAAAGAAAGCAAAGTAGATCAGAAAATAGAAATAATTATGCCACAAAAATGCAAAAAAGGAAAAAGCGGGAAAAGAAAAAGAAATTATATATATCTCTTTGTCAACGAAGTCGCCCTAATCTACGCCTGTCCTGTTAGCTCCGCCGCCGCCGCCGCCATCAACGGCACCGAATCAAATTCAAGAAAAACGGAAAAAAAAAAAAAGAAAAAGGAAAACGGAAATCATCGGAAGGGGAGAAAAGGAGAGGGGGACTCACACACGTGTCGCGATCGCAACGGCTCAGTAGCCGTGCACGATCTGGGAGCACTTGTTCTTGATCCACTGGAACCCTCTCCTCAGCGACGCCTTCACCCTGCCCTCCACCGTGTACGCCTTGTACCTGGCTATCCTCTTCTTCCGCTTCATCTCCGGGTCCGTGAACCCCCACGGCTTCCCCGCCGCCGGCCCCCCGCCCCGGCCCCCGCCGCCGTGGCCCGACCAGCCCTCCCTGCCCGGGACCGGCGGCGGCGGGCGGCGGGGGATGATGATGCTGGGTCGGCGAGTACGGCCGGTGGCACGCGCCAACCCCCTTCCCGCTCACGATCTCCATCCTCCCGTCGCCGCCGCCGCCGCCGCCGCCGTAGGATCCGTAGGATCCGTACCCGTCCATGAACCCGAAGCCGGAGAAGGAGCAAGCCCAGCTGAACGACGATGAGAGAGAGATGGGGGGGGATGCTGAGTAGGGTTTCTGAAAAACGGGGTAGCTGGAGGAGAGAGCGGAGGAGAGGACGGGGGGGGGAGATCAAGTGAGGACGAATTTAAAAAAAGAGAAAGCGATTGTTCTTCTTGGCCAACTTTTTTCTTATTTCTTCTCTCTCTCTCTCTCTCTCTCTCTCTCTCTCTTCATTTTTCTTTCTGTAATTTTTTCGTTTTTTTCTTTTTTTCTTTCCTTTGCTTTTGGTGTGTCGTGTGATGAATGATGAGCGACGAGGGAAAACGGGAAAAGCAAGATGATAAAAAAAGGGAGAAGGAAAGCTTTTCTCTTTTGCAACTTTCGTGCTGGAATACAACTACTGCAAAGAAGTACTCTGAGATTTGAGTGCGATGGCCTCTCGGTCCTGCCGATCTCTCTCTGCCGCCCCTGCCCCCCTTTGGGTTCGGACAGAATCATTTGTTGGGTTGTCGGATTTGTTGTTTAGTTTAATCGGGGATTAGGATCGACGAAATTGATGGTTCAGTTCGGAACCGTGACGAGGACGACGAGGGATTGTTGAAACGGCACCGCGATCGACGGCTAGTTTGCGAGGTTTTAGTGAGGATATGGGAAATCTTGTGGAGAAGGGAATCGCATGAAGAAGGGTTTTATGCCGCTGCGTGAACGGAGATTGTATTCACGATTAGATGAAAGGACGAGATGGTACGATGTACATGAAAACAAGGTGAAATTTGCCCCCATCCGACCTCCCCTTATTGTGCACGAGTACGTATTTGAACACTGATGATCATCACCTGAGGGGGGGGACTAGACTCATCGTTAATTAGAGGACGGGACTCTCGCTATAGAAGGTAGCAAATCCTCAACAATTACTGATTACACGATAACACTCGAACTTTCAGGCGACGTTGAACATGCATTCATGTGTTGGAACCGGCCACAAACAGGACTTGAGTGAAAAAATTGTACATGTTCGAAGACTTGATGGAGGCCAGTCATTGAGCTGCTCCTCCTAATGCCGAGCGCACACTCATTCTCCCCCGCTCTCCCTTTCTCTTCAGCTACTTTGGGTATTCCAAACTTATGTTAACTCACTTTACATGACCCGTGAGATTAAGTGGGTCCCGTGTGAGTTCCGCATGATCTAACATGTCATGTTAAACTGGCTAGCATAAGTCGAAAGCACCTAATAATGTTCCCCTCTTTTTTATTTCCCAACTCAATCGTGTCGTCATGCTATGGTTTTTAAAATCTGGATGTAAATCTTAAAATGTTATGGTGTTACGATCCTAACCAAACACATTGAACAGTTTACATTTATGCTAAAATTTTAGTAAATTCCAGATTTAGGTCACAAAATCTTCTAACATCTTACAATTTCACGATTCGACACACCTTGAATGATTTCATCCTGTCAAAGTCTTATGTCGATAATAGTATTGTGCAAAATTGAAAAAATCATATTGCAGTTTCTTGAACGAAAGACTAAGGGTGCGTTTGGTACGGCGTTTGGAATCTTCTTTGGGAATGCAAATACGCTTTGGGTGGAAGCGCTTTAGGAAAAATGCAAATGGCGTTTGGTAAAAACTCATTTGCAAAGCTATTCTGACCCAAGTGGTGTTTGGTTAATTTTTTTTACAAATGGGCTTTGGGAGGGTTTTTTTAAAAAAGGCAAAAATAGAGGCAGCTACGGCGCCGGAGGCCGGCCGCCGAGCGACCTCGGCGAGGACGCCGACTCGGCGACGAGGCCCGAGACTCTCAGCGCCGGCGAGGTCACTGTCCACCGACGCCGCCCGTCGGAAGCGGCGCCGGCCCTACGGCCGAGCCGGCGCCAGGACACTCTCGCGCCACGCCTAGGCCATGGAATCTTCTAACATCTTACAATTCCACGATTCAAAACATCTTGAATGATTTCATCTTGTCAAAGTCTTATGTCGATAATAGTATTGTGCAAAATTGAAAAAATCACATTGCCGTTTCTTGAAGCCAAATATACTATGAAAATCAAAATTTACAACAAACAAAAAAGCAAAAGAGGGAGAGAGAGAGAGAGATGTGTGAAATACAATAAAAAAATTATTAATTTGGGTGTTGACTTTGCTAAAATTAGTCTTAATGACATTAGCACTGTGTAACAATGATCAAATCCACTTGGAGAAGCCCACACGAGCTCGGCACAATGATTGACTTATTTTGACATTTCTTGACATGCATCCGTGATAGACTCGATGCGAATAGTGGCGATGACGCAACCATTGGCGAGCCTAGACTTTCATAAAGATGTTGGTTGTAATTTTATTTTGTAGATTGTAAGTTTAGTTGATTCATCTTTATAATATGCTATTTTTTGTAAAATAATACAAACTACGGAACTGTATAAAAGTCGGTTATTGTGCTCTTTTACTTAGTACACACAGTCACTATCCGTTGAAAAGTGTTTATAGTGTTTTAATAACTTGGAAAATCGTATTATTTTACGATATATTGTTATTCGGTATTGTAAACCCCACAATAATTCTTCTATAAAATCTAATTTTAACCACCTTGATCATCACTGCCCGTTGCCTCGTTTGTTGATGAAACTCCTACCGCCCCCTCCAAGCTGGCGGCACCATGTGCGCCATCTTTCATCGAGATCTGGTCATTGTTGTCGAGCTCAATTGGGATGGCTAGACTTGGAGAGGGCCTTCCAGGTCCATGGGCCTATACTCCATATCTGCAATGAGTGGTTCGATAGCAACAATGAGATGGATCTCTTTACTCGAGA